AAGGCCACCTCTGGTGAGAGAGTGGGGAACTCAATCTGCATGTCCCTCCTCCCTGAGTCAGAGCCCTCAGCGGCTCCTGTTCCCTCCTGGGCAATATGGCCTGCCAGGGCCCGCCCGGGAGCCCAGAGACGACGCTCTCTACCCTGCATCGGCTCCCTGGGGTGTGGTGGTGCTCTCTCTGCACCCACTCCTGCTGAGGACAGGACGCGCTTCCTGTCGTGGCAGGCATGGAGACGAGGAGGTCTTTTCATCCTCGTTGCTCTCCTGGAAAGGAGGCTTTCACACCCTGCTTTGCAGATGGAAAAACTGAGGTACAGAAAGTTAGGTATGTTACTCAAGACCACCCACTAATCAATTGCAGAACCAGGCTCTCGCCCCACCCGAGCTGTCTTCCCTCTGAATGAGGATAGTGATGACCAGTCTCTGAAAAGCTCTGTGGTGCTCGGCACCCGAACAGTTTTTCTGTATGATCAGAGCTGCCTCCAGCCCTGGGCACAGTTCTCAGTGTGCGGAAGATTCTCCATGATTAGCCTGGGATCCACAGAGTCCGTAAAGAGCCTGATGTGGAGGTAAAATTTGGCATGTGTGAAATAATGCACATTTCTAGGGAGAGAGTCAAGAGCCCACAGCAAATGTATCTGGAACCCAGGAAAGCTCTACAGTTCTGGGGGCAGGGAGACCGGGGTAATCCTGGCTGTCAAGAAGAAGGGAAAGATCAGACACCGGGCACCCATCGTGGGTAGGGTCCTCAGGCAAGCAGACTCTGAGTCCAGCATGACGACTTTTTACTAGGATGCCCTGGGGTCAGTGCCGGGGAGGAGGGGAAGGACACAGCACGGGCAACATCGAGCTGCAATGGCTCAACAGCAACCTCAGCCAATCCCGCCGTGAGCTCTGGAGCGAGAATGACCTATCACGCTTGCCCCACGCTGGGTCAGAATGGCTGTGCCTTTACGTCTCCACTTCAACTGGTCACTGGGTGTGGACAGCCCTTGGAAGGATGTGGCTTAGGGCCAGGCAGCTGTCTGTAGCCAAGACGATCCCTGACGGGCTGGCAACTGCTGGCCGCCCCCAGTTGCACCCCAGCAGCTGGTGAGAAGCCCTGTGTGAAGGAGGGTCTGCATGCTCCTCACCACGTCCACCCCAGACTCATCTCTGCAGCTGGATGTGGGGCCCAAGAGAGGGAAGATCACCAGGACACCCCCAGGAGCTCAGGGGAAGGGCTTATAGAGGTTCTTCAGGTCAGAGTGAGTCCCACCCCCATAACTCGTGTCGAGGTGTGAGTGTGAGGACGGCAGCCCAGCAAGTACAGACCCTACAGAGACGCAGCCCATGTCCAGGAAGGAGCCGTGTCCTGGGTGCTGCAGCAATGGGCTTCCAGCTCCATACAAGACTGGGGATTGATGTAGAAGGTCTTTGAGTCGAAACAGATGGTCCTTCCAGCTCTGGCAGCCTAGGATGAAGATTCCAGCCTCTCCTCAGACCATTTTTACAGATGGAATGCACAGAGGAAAACAGAGCTGGGAACATTCTGTTGATGCTCAGCCACCAAACAGAGGTTCTGAGCACTCGGGCCCCCGCCGCTCCCTGGTAGAGTGCCCAGAGCATAAATCCACACAGCAGGCACGGGACGCGAGCCCTGCAGGGAAGGTCCCGCACCATGGAGGGTGCGGCCAAGGGGCTTGCCTGTAGGGGGGAGCACATAGAGATTCCTCAGAGGCCGTGGACCCCGTGAATTGGTGACCCCCCAAGGCCAAGGCCCCTTCACTGAGTTGCAGCTTCAGAGAGAATAGTGGTCGGCGGAGACCTCAAGGAAACCAGTCCATCTGGAAGGCTGGGAAGTCTAAATATGGAGAAGCCCCTCCACTTCAGGATCCTCCGTGCTATTGTTGTGGGAATTCCTTTGGGACTCCATGCTGTAGGGTTCTAGCTCAGAAAACAATCACCACCCCCTCACCATTTATTAAGGACTACTGCATGCCAGGCCTTGTACTAGGTGCTATGTGTGCTTTAGGTTTTCCTTGCGGAAACCTTGCAAAGTTATTAGAATGTCCACTTTGCTGATGAGGAATTGAGAGCCGTGCAGAGGTTATGTAACTTGCCCAAGGTCACATAGTAAGTAGCAGACTTGGGATTCTAACCCAGGTCTTCCTGACTCCAAAGTCCCTTTTCTTTACCCTCTGCTGTATAGCCTTAAACTTTGCCATATTGAGGAGAGCAGACTAGGGGTTCCATGCCCCCCTTCCAGCACACAAGGACAAGGTCCCCTTTCCAACACTTGTTCATTCTGTACATTGGAGGACCCCAGTCTCTCAGGTCCCTGTGCCTATAGGTGGAAACTTAGGGCTGGTGAGCATCGGTGGACTGGCCTCCACAATGGAATCCAGGCTCTTGAAATGTCCAAGCTAGAAGGGACCTTAGAGATGAGCAAGCCTCCCTCATGTGACAGGTGAGGAAAGTGACCAGGAGGACATGAATTGCCCAAAGCCACAGAGCTAGTCAGAAGCATCGTGTGTGCGTGAGTGAGTGTGTGTGTGTGTGTGTGTGTTGCATGTGTGTGCATGAGCACGTGCTGGGGCTGGGGACGAGGGTCCAGCTCCCAGGCCTTAGGATGAGTTCAGGTGAGAAGACCTTGGAGCCTTATCTCTATCCAGAAGTGTGGCCCACAAACAGAGCCCCCCCATTCCCAAAAAGGCTATTTTTAAAATCTGGTTTGTTTTAATGCAGGTAGTTTACTTGGGACAAGGTGACCCTAAGCAGTGCCCATAGGGGAGTGGGAAAATGAGGCAGAAGAGAAAGAAGCCAGTGTAGGGTCTATTAGTGATCAAGTTACTGCTTTGGGCAACTGGGGCTTGGTACCCCCGGGGACATTTAAGAGATGGTGTAGAATGTGCCTCTGAGTTGCCACACCCAAGGTGGTGCATTTGCCCACAAGCCCCCCAGTCACCAGCTAAGTACTGCTATCGAGGGGCGTCACTCCCCCAGGACCTCTTGCCAGGCGCTGCAGCCATCAGAGAAGGGAGAGGGCTGTTGTCAGAGGCGTTGGTACCTGAGAACCAGCCAGTTCCCAAAAGATTCTTGAGAATATTTTGGGTCAAGAGGTGCTGTGTGCCAGATGGGTGGGACCCAGTGCTGCCCTCCAGGCCCCGGGCGCCAGCGTGCTGGGGGAGAAGGGCTATCCCATGTGCTCTGAGGGAAGAAGGGCCTGGGCTACAGACGAGGAGTTGAAGTTAGATGTAAAAGAGATCTTCCTGGTGACACTAGTGAAAAACATCACAGATATCTAGAGCTTCATCCAACCGAGAAGCTTGATCGGTGGCCACATGAGAAATCGTGGGGCAAAGAAATATGCTGCAGCAAGGAGCTCTGCCTCTGTGGGCATGCAGGGGAGACCTGGGGGGCAGGTGGAGGTGGAGTGCCCAGAGGATTCTTTGTGCAAGCCTCGGTTATTCCGGCAGCAGGAGGAACACCTCTCCACACGCAAAGCAACAGGAAGAGGTCCTCTGGCATCAATCAGGGCATCTTTCATGGAGGCAAAGTCTTGAGAGAAATAAGCCAAGGTTGCCCAGCTCTCCTGTACCAGGGCCACCCCGCCCCCTTGGGTCCCCTGCTCTTGTTCGTAAAAATGGGAGGTCACAGACTGCCCTAGACAACCTAAGGCCCCTTCCAGTCCTGGCCCATTGTCACTGTCCACTGTAGAGGCCATTCCCTGACCCTCGAGTTCTCTTCAGCTCACCCATCAACAAGTGCTGGGTGAGCAGGTGTCATCCGCCCAGTGCCACGTGGGGAGACAGGAACCAAACACAGGCCCTGCCTCCAGGAACTTGCTGAGCACGTACTCAGTGCTAAACACCTTACCTATGCTGACTCCCTTCTCCCTCACCATAAACCCACAAGGTGGGCACCGGTACCATGGTTACACAGGTGAGGAAACAGGCTCAGAGGAAAAGCAGCTTGCCCAAAGCCACACGGTGGCAGGGCTTGGACTTGAGCCCATGCTGTTAATCACAGTGCTTCTCCTCTGCCGTGAAATTGACAGTGGCTCTCTAAGGACAGCTCCTAGAGTTCTAGGAGACGGAGGAGTGAAAGCTGTAGTCACCCAGGAAGTCTTCATGGAGGAGGTGGCTTAGCACTGGGCCTTGAGGGAGGGGCAGCACTGGAGGCTGGCAGGGAGGGGAGTGACGTGACTGAACGAACTGCCCCGGGCCCGCTGGAGGGTGGCTGCCCCAGCCAGCAAGGCGTCTTCTAGAGCAGGCAGGAGGGCTGCAGCCATGGCTCAGCCGGCCGGGAGCACAGGAGGCCGGGAGTAACAGATGCAGGTGAGAGCCTCCTCCTCAGGTTGAGCCAGGCCAAAAAACGAGTCCACCTGCCACAGAGGGACTCACACCCCCGCCAGGCCCGTAAGCATCACTCCTCCCCCAGACTCGTGGGAAGCCTAAAGACGGAGCTGGTTTAGTGTGGATCCGCTTCCTCCTAAGCCAGCCGCCGAGGGGCCACTGATGACTGCAGTAGTGTTCATGAGGCACGCACGGGTGTAAGCCCTTTAATTCATTCACACTCTCCAGCATCCCTATGAGGTAGGTACTATTGTGATGCCCACTTCATAGATGGGGAAGCAGAGGCATAGTGAGGTTAAGTAACTTGCTCAGGGTCACACAGCTAATAAGAGGCAGAGCCCACATTTGAACCCAGACAGCCTGTTTTTAGCTACTCTGCTGTGCCATGTCTAAGTGGACGTTCGTGAGCTCTGGCCCTGGCTGCCGCTTCCCTCTGTCTGGGATGCTCTCCCCAGGTGCAGGTTCTCGTCCTTGCCCGGGGCTCTTCCCTGCCATGGCAGCCCCTCCCTAGAGGGGGCTGCAGGAGACACCCCACCAGTACCCCTCACTAGCAAGGCCACCACCAGAAAGACCAGGCCAGAGTGCTCCGTCCTTGTCCCCCACCCCACACCCACACGCACCCCGTCCCCTCCCCCAACCGAGCACGTTGCCTTTTGTTCACAGTGATGGCTCCTGCGCCCAGGCCGGCGGGGGCGTAGAGGACTCCGTGGTGGCAGCGGTGGCAGTGGCAGCCGGCAGACCCAGTGCCCATGCCCCGAAGGCTCAAGCCCAGGAGCTGCAGGAGGAGGAGGAGCAGCCGGGGGCAGGGGGTGCCTCCCCGAGGGCTGGCCCCCACCACGTGGCCTCCCCCGGCCGGCAGCAGCCTGCCCTGGCGACGGCGCTCTGCTCCCACGCCCCTGCCGCCTCCGATTACGAACTCTCCCTTGACCTAAAGAATAAACAGGTACCCAGGGCCTCCAAGGGGGGCGGGGAGGGTGGTGAAGGGGCCCTGCTTTTGGGGGCTGTCCAGGGCACCAGGGACCTCCCCATCTGGGCCCAGCTCTGCTGCAGGCACACCCCTTTGGCCACAGTTCTCCCAAACTGAGCTACCTGGTCTGTCCTTCCCTGTAGCCCATTCCTCAGGGACCAGCCACAGGCCACTGCCTCGTTCCCACTTAGGCCTCACTGGCAGGGGGCGCACCCTTGCAACGCCAGGCTCCTAGGCAGTGCGTCCAGGGGTGCTGCTCCTTTGGCAATGTGCAGGGAGCCTGAACTCCACATTCCCCTGGACAAGTAGCCCATTGTTCTCTGGGGAGGTCTCCACCTCCACCTGCCAGTTAGAAGATACAGCCCAGCTTCCCCATGCCTACCCAAGAGGCAAGCCAATGCCTAGGCACACACAGGCTCAAAAGAGGTGCAAAGACAGTGGTCTTCTCTAGGTAGACTGAGGAGTTGCAAGATAATCCAGATTGGGGGAGTCAAGAGCTCCCCTGTTGGAGAACAAATCTCATGGAGGGTCTCCATCTTCCCTTTTGTGCAGGAGGGGAAAGTGGCCAGTCATGGGGCCCCCACTGACCCTCAAGAAAGATACTGCCACAGTGTGTCTCAGTGGACAATTAAGATGCCCGGAGGGAGGTCTGTAACCATGTGTGTGTGTGTGCATGTGTGTGTGTGCATGTGTGTGTGTGTACATGTGTGTGTGCATGTGTGTGTGTGCGTGCGTGTGTGTGTGCATGTGTGTGTGTGTGTGTGTGTGCATGCACGCACTTAGAGAGATATGATGATGAGGTACCGTTAGGAAAGAGCTTTGAACTTGGAGACAAAGATGTGAGATCCAATTCTTATTCTTCCTCTAATTAATCCTGTGACTTTAGGAGTTCCACTTAAGCACTCTGGGCATTGGTTTCCTCATCGGCAAAGTTGGGAATTAGACCTTGAATCATCTCTAAAGTCTCTTCTGGTTCTAAAATGTGTAGGTTCCAAAGAGCCATTCTTTAACCCAATGCACAAGGTGAATCTTAGGAAAGGAAGCCAGCAGGAAGGTCACTAAGACTGAGTCTGGCTGAAGTGACCTTGCTTCTTTCTTTCGGCACTGAGACCAAGCTGTTACCCTGGTCAAAGCCCAGCTGGAGGCAGTGCATGTGGCTTTCAGTAAAGTACCTGACAAACTCTCCCATGATACCCAGGTGGACAAGGTAGGAGTGTGTGGATTAGATGACGGTACGGGCAGGTGGGCTGTTCTCAAACAGAATTCTCAAAAACGATTTTTCTACCAGCACCAATTTCAGAGGAGTGGAGTGGGGCACTGTCCTCGGTCCTGTCCTGTTCAACCATTTTGACAAGGCACTGAATAAAGGCATAGAAGTTACATTTTCCAAACTCTGATGACATAAAGCTGAAAGAGGACAGCTAACACCTTAATGATAGAATCCAAGATCTTAAGAAAGTCTCACCAGGACAGAAGGATATTTAAATGAAAAAAGTAAGATGAAATAGGAAGAAATCTGAACTTGTGCTCTTAGCTTTGAAAAGCCCCCAGCACAGCATACGATGGGCAGGCGAGGCCCTGGGAGAAAGGCCTTAGGGCTCCAGTTGTGTGTAAGCTCCAGACACGTGAGCGGCAGGTGGAGCCGCTCCCGGGCTGCCAGGACAGCTTTCAGCAGCCTTCACCAGGGACAGAGCCCAGAGCCAGGGGGAGCCGGCCGGTGGCCCCACCCTGGGGACTGGCCAGGGACTGTTTGGATCCTGTGCTTGGTTCTGCAGGCCGCACTAAGAGGGTAGATGAGAATCCTGAGGTTCCTGAGGTGGTGTCGTACGAGAAGTTGCAGACAGGGAAACAAGCTTGAAATATGGAAGTGCGGGCGTGTGAAAAGGGGACTAGATGTATTTTCTATCATTCCAGGAAAAATAGTTTCGGCAATCTATGGAAGCTATAAGAGGGGGAGATTTTAGCTTAATTAACAAGTAGAGCCGGTTTAAAAATATATATACTTCCCTGACTGTGCGTTGGTGAGTTCTCTGTTACTGGGAGTGCCCAGGCAGGGGCTGGAACACTGCGGTGTGATCTGGGGGCCCGTTGGCCCAGATGAGGGAGTCCTCTCAACTCCACGTGATTCTCTGCTCCCTGAGGACAGAGACCATCTCACGGCTATCTTTGTCCCCTTCCCCAGCGTCTAGCAGAGTGTCCTGGACACACAAAGAGCTCATCGAGTGAGCGCTTTTAAAGTAACTGTGATGTACAAGGCAACAAGGGAGCAGGGTACCAAGAAGAAAAAAAGCGCTCCCTACCTGCCTCCCAAAGAGCTTGCGGCGCCACGTAAGGAGTATCCAGTCAGCACCACCAGAGAACACTGTGCTTTGTCTTGGGCAAGAGAGTTAGTTCTGGCTGCCTGGGCAGGACACGGGGAGCTGTGCAGGACTCGGGTACTGTGGACATTTTTTGCAGTGGGCATGACTCCTGTAGATGGGTTTGCATGTCAGGAAAGGGGAGGACTGATAGAGAGTGTGACAGGGGCCCTCTCGTCAAGTGAATCAGCCTTGGGAATAGTTTACCTCCCCTGGCTCGTGTGTCTCTCTAGACCAGGCACAGCTGGGGGTGGAAGTGGGTAAAAGGAGATCGAGGGGCCAGAGCAAGGGTATTGGAACACAGCACACATTGACAAGAGACTGAGCTCCACTCTCTCTTCTGCCAATGAGCTGTGTGACCTCAGGCAAGTTGCTTAACTTCTCTGGGCCTCGGTTTCCTCATGTGCCTCTCCGGGCTTTCCGTGCTCTACTCTTTGCCTCTGCCTCCGAGGTCTGTCCACCCCTTGACCTCCTGCACGCCGTCCTCTCTCGTGTTGGGACTGCTTTACGTGCTCCTCCTTCCTCTCTGGAGCTTTTCCTGCCCTCCCAAGGCTGCCTCGGTGCCCCTCCTCAGTGACCCCACAACAGCCAGGTGTTCCCTGTCACAGCCCTTCAGCCCTGCATTGTCGTTTCCTGTTGACTTAACTCCTCCTTGAAGGCAGGACTCATGACTTGTTCGTCATTATATCCCCAGTGCCTAACGCACTCCCTGGCACAAAGAAGATGCTCGAAGGATGAAAAGGGGAAATAAGACCCTAGAGGCATCAGGGGTGGATGGGATGGGCATGAAGCCTGGGGCCAGGACCCCACTCTGTCTTTAAGTCTCTTTGAGATCTACGATTTTGCATACTGACCTCGTGGTCCCCAGCAGCCTCGTGGGGTCCTGTGGTCCTTGGACTGGAAGGCGTCTTAGATGGCTATCATCTCCCCAGTCCGCCAGGCTGCCAGCCTCCTCTGTCAGCCCATCTGATCCCCAGGAGTGTTGTCCTTGGTCTCTCTCTCCCCACATGTGCTCATCCCCAAACCCCACCGAGGCTACCCCTTAAGTGTTTCACAGACCCTACCCTATCTTGCCATCCCCCCTGCCCCACCAGAGACCAAGCCATCCTCACCTCTTGCCTGGGCCTCTGGGGATGTCTCCTGCCGGCTCCCCACTGCGTGTAGCACAAAGGCTTCCCCAGGATCCCCTGCCACAGACCCACACCACATCAGGGCTCCAGCCATTCCTATTTGCCCTTCCCCAAATCTCCCAGCCATCCTTTGCCTTTGCATGTTTAATTTCCTCTGCTGGCCATGCTCCCCCCATTGCCAAGCATGCTTCATTGGGGTATCTCTGCTCACGCTCAGGTGTCTGTGGGCATCCTGGAGCTTGGGAGAGGGCCTACTGAGTGCCCCAGAGCCCCCTCTGCTCACAAGCACAGGGACTGTGCTGTTCTCAGGGCCATGGCAGAGTTGAGGAGCTTGCACAGCGCACACCTCCAGGGGCCCATGCACTTCCCAGCTGGTGGGGAGAGCGCGTACTCTCAGAGCTGTGCATGGTCCTTGCCCACCATCACTCTCCGGCAGCCAGCACAGTCCCCGTTGCCTAGGACACTCCCCGTATGGAAGGGACACATGAATGAAGAAATGAATGAGGCCCACCTCAGAGCTTCCCTCTTCTGACTGGCCCCTTCCCCAGCTCTCCTCCCTAGAGGTCACAGTGGGAAGGTCTTCCTGCACAGCTCTGTCCCCTTTAACTCCCCCCACCTCCCCTCACAGTGATCCCTGGGGCTACAACCTAGGTGGACAGGGAGGGAGCATGCAGGTCCCTTGGGGGGCCCCTCAGAAAAGCTGCTGTGGCAAGGATATAGAGGGCCCAGGTGTGATTTCCAAATACTCCAAGTTATCGAGGGAGTTTGTGTCCTGTCCTCTGCCACTGTTGCTGGACGGACTACTGGAGCCCATCTAGGCTATCCAAACCGGAACCACGGGGCTGTGGTCAGTAGCATCTAGGCCCTGCTCCCCAGGTCAGGGTCCTGTCTGGACAGCTGTCCCTTCCCAACAGCCGGCCTCCCCATGCCCCAGGCCTCAGGGCCCAGCCTCACCTGGCACCTCCTCAAGGAGAAGTGGTGGCTACGTTTCCATGTCGCTTTCCCTCTCTGGGCCTCAGTTTCCTCATTTGTGAACAAGGGGCTGTACCAGAGTGTACCAGTGGCTCCTCCCCACTATGAAGGCAAGATGTCCCCATGGGTATGGAGGTCTCTAGGAGCCAGCCTGAGGAGGATGGTGGTGAGCGCATTGAGTTTCATTCAGTCCAGAGAACGGTGCTGCACAGCCGCGCTGTCCCAGGCCCTGTGGCAGGCCTGGGGAAACCATGGTGCAAAAGATATAGTCCTGGTGGAGGGCTCACATCCAGTGGGGGGCGCTGACATGTCACCAGCACCAGCTAGTACTAAGTGTGCACTGACTGTGTGCCGGGCGCAGTGCTGAGCATTTGCTGCACATTGTGTCCCAGCTGTGCCTGGCATCCCTGTGAGGTAGGCACTATACTACCCCTGTTGCAGGAAAGAGAAGACTAAGATACAGCCCTGGGAGGTAGTGCAGCCGAGACGTGACTCCATAGTCCGTGATTTTAACCTAGTGCCCTCTCCCGTCTCTTGTCATTCTGGCGAAGGAAGGGGTGGGCTCTGTGGGAGTGGGGCACAGCGTCTGTGCAGCACTGAGAGGGCAGGCGGCCAGCCTGGCATTCGGAGGGGGCTCCAGGAGCAGCTCTGCCAGAGCGGGTCTCTGTGACCTCAGCACAGGAGAGGTTCCCAGGGGCAGCCCTGCTCCCAGGCAGGCCTCAGTGCCCAGCCATGTTGAACACCTACTGTATTTCAGATGGTGGATGGGGCACACAGAAAAGAAAGACATAGCCCCCCCCCCAGCCAGGTCATGGCCTACTGTGGCCCCCAAGCATCCCTGAAGCTCCACTCCCACCCAGACAGTCTACTTCTCAGCCCCAGGCACGGGTTTGCCTTGCCAAGTTCTGGAGGCCGAGGACATGCAACACCTTAATGTTCTCAAGGAGACATCTCTGTTCCGGGGAAATCCTTGCTCGTGTTTGAAAGCCCCGCTCCCGGGCCCCGCTGCTGCTCTTCCTCCCCACCCTGGCTTGGCCACCATCTCCCAGCGGCCCGGCAGGCCCAGCTGCCGTAGCAACCTGAGAAGAGGGAGCATGTTCTAATTAACACTGAGAGGCTCATTAGAGACACACAGCCCCCAGCCCCCTCGCTGCTGCTTCTGCAGAGCTGACAGACTGCTCTCTTGGGAAGAGGAGAGGCCACAGTTACCCGTGATTCGTGGGGCATCGAGAGAAGTGAGCAGAGCTGCTCCTCTGCCAGTGGGCCCGGGGAACCCTCCCTCCCCTGCACACCCACCCGTCAGCCCACTCACCTGGCCCTGGTTAAGAGCAGGATTGGGGTGCATGAGGGGACCGCCTGACCTGGGGTACTGCTGAGTCCCCAAGTCCTGAGAATGGGGAGGGGGTACGTGGAGGAGGCAAAGAACAGGGCGTTTGGCTCCAAGCCTGGATCTAGAAGAGAGTCTGGATTTTTATTTCCCCTGGAGCATGGGAGAGAGTTCCATTTAGCTCACGTCCACAGACATTTGTTTAGCCCCTCTCCATGGGTCCAGCACGGGGCTGGGCACGAGGGATACACGGACAGATGATACTGTCCTGCCTGTGAGGGACAGCGGAGAGTTCTGAGCAGAGGCTGGGCTGCAAAGGGCGGGAAGGAGGCTGTAGGGACAGCACAGGCTCAAGGCTGGGACAGGTGGGAGCTGGTCGTGCTGAACCGCTCAAATGAGTGGTGACAAAGCAATAACGAATTCAAATGCCATTCGGTGATCCCTGCTCCACGCCAGCCCCATACCAGGTGCTACACAGGGGTCAGAGGATGGCTGAGATGCATCTGATGCCATGAACCACTCATGCTCCGCTGGAATCTGGGGGAGGGGAAAGGGAAGGCAGGACGGGTTGGATGAATACCACAAAGATTAGGGGAGGAAACAGTGTCCAGGAAAGTTTGAAGCAACATTCTCTGCGGGGGCCCAAGGAAAGGAGACCCTGCCTGGTTGGGGGATTGAGAAGGCTTGTGGGAGAGGCACATTTGAGACAGATCTTGAAGGAAGGGGGACATTTTCTCTGGAGGAAAGGGGACGAGAGTGGCATTGAAAGGGACATCGTAGGCTGTGGGAGAAGGCTGAGTGAGCACTCGGGCAGGAGGCCGGGGTGTGCTGGGGGAAGAGCAGGTAGCTGTGCTGGTCAGTGGTAGAGACTTCACACAGCAGAGCCTGGGAGGGAGGTGCAGGCCGGGTTGTCAGGGCTGGAAAGCCAGGAGGATGCATTCGCACTATGTGGGGTGATGTTCTCAAGCAGAGGAAGGCCTGCAATGACACAGGCTGTTAGCACGGATCAGTTAATATAGCGTAAGGCGGGTGGGGGGTGGGTGAGAAGGAAGCAGGAGATGGGAGGCTGCTGGGGTGGTCCAAGTGCGAGCACAAAGCCAGTCCCACGTGGTGACGTTTTGTAGGAAGGTCAAGGGTGACTGCTATGTGCTGGATGCTACATGAACCAATTTAATCCTTATAACAAGCCAGAGTCAGCAGGATTAGCCTCATTTAACAGATAAGGAAACTGAGAATCAGCGATGTTGGGAAAATTGTCCTAGGTCAACCTGCAGGGTAGAGGCAGATCTGGGACTGGGCATTTCCTCTATCTAATGCATACTCATCGATCCATTAGAGTGACGTTATGGTCATGGACAAGGTTCACTAAGGAAGGCAGGCAAGAGGTGAGAAGATATTAGCCTTCAGAACATGTTTAGAGTCACAAAGGCTCTGCCTGTGATAGTTCACCTCTTAATTAGTTGTTACTTATCAGCTATCAGGGGCTGCTCTAATGACTTCCAACACAGAAGTCATGGAAGATGTCCAGAAACATATGGGGAAACATTAAAGTGTGTGTGGAGAATGGAAGATGGCACATGTGTGCCTAGTAACTGGCATGCTTGGGGATTTTGTGTGGCCAGAATATGGGATTGAAGAGCTCTGTGGAGACAGGAAAACCACGATAGACTGGGTCAGTAGAGCTGAGGAGAGTTTCAAGGTGGTAAAAATACCAAGAACTGCAGAAAGGAGGGAGGAGGAGGGTTGAAGATGAGCCATGCGATCCAGCGATTAGAAGGGCATGCCAACCTTCCTGAGGGCCATTTTGGAAGTCCAGCGGAGCAGGAGCTGGATGGAGTGCAAGGAGTCAGGGTACACAGGCTGGATCAGTAGTTCGGCATTTGTTCATGCACTGGTCTTCCAAAAGGTTCAATGGGAAGTAGAAAGAAAGTGAATGAGCTAGTGCCCCAGAGGTGGGGAGTCCAGCAGAGTTATGTTCTAGCCTGGGGAGATCGGGGAGGGGCTGCAGGCAGGTGGACAGGGGCCAATAGAAGGGCGGAGGTTGGGAATGCAGAAAAAAGAGACTGGAGGATAAAGCGAACATGCAAAGGAGGCAAGGGGGAGATCACCAGCTTTGGGTCAGATTAAGAAGGTGTTGGAGGGTCACAAAGATAACTTGGGAATTAACTTTTAAATTTATTCCGTACATATTCATTGCAGGCCTACTGTGTGCTGGGCAGTGTCCAAGCACTGGGGATTGCCTCTGAGGCAGATGTCTGTGTTTTTCATGGGTACATGAGGTCATATTTAGATAAAGACCAAGTAGGCAACTGTCCAGTTGGTACAGTAGTCAGAATTCTAGTATGGTCCCCAGATTCCTGCACCCTAGTATACATGTCCTGTATAATTCCTGCCACCTTAGAGGGAATGTCTTTCTAGTCCTTTCCTGAGAGATTTTGCTAAAGGAGAAAAGTAGGAACATAGCAACCCAAGAGGAGAAAAGACCATAGACAGGGGCATGAAGCTGAGAAGAGGTGAGTAAGGGCCCTGAAGACAAACTGGCCCCACGTTAGAAGTCTTCCTGGGGCCACATCTGCAGATACCCCATCCTCCACCTGCCAGCACACCCAGTCCTGTCCTGACTGGACAGCTCCAACGGCTGAGAACAGAGGTGAACAGTATTGGGGAACTACTGGTCATGGTGGCCTGGAGGGACTCCCACTCTTGAGACATTATCCATCTTTTTATTAAATTCACATTTATCGAGCACCTATCATGTGCCAGACCCTGGGCTGGGTACAGGGAAGAAAGACCCTGATCCCAACCTTAATGATGCTCCCAGGGAATGGGGACTAGCCCAGTGCAGTGACATGAATGCTGAACAGAAGCCCAGGTAAGCAGGAGCAGCAGCAGATTTTTTTTTTTTTTAGCACTTCTGTTGAATTTTTCATTGTTTATTATTTTGTAATGTGCACAAAAGTAGAAACAATAGTCTAATAAACTCCCATCTAGCCATCACCCAGCTCAACCATTTTTATTAATATTTTTAAATATTGTGTCATCTCACTCTTCCACTTTTTTGAGAGTATTTTAATACAAATTCAAGATGTCATGCATTTTACCTATAAATACTTGTGTATGCATCTCTGATGAGAACATTTTTAAATAACCGCCAGGACAGTACTGCCCCCTGGGACATCACCAGTCCCCAGGATGGAATACTACATCCCACAGCACAAGGAGTCTTGCCGAGACCAGTTATCTCAGGCCATGCCGTGCTAGGAGTTTTCAGGGTTGCACGGCAGTGGTCCCCAGCTGTGCATTCCTGGGCCCCGCCCAAGTTTGACCAGGCCCCTCCTGCACGGAAATCCAGCGCCCCCATCTTTCAGAAGGGCTGTACGCCCCTTCCCCGACTGAGCGTGTCCTACTTTCCGTCCTTGTTGCAGATTGAAATGCTAGAACACAAGTACGGGGGCCACCTGGTGTCGCGGCGCGCAGCCTGCACCATCCAAACCGCCTTCCGCCAGTACCAGCTCAGCAAGAACTTCGAGAAGATCCGCAACTCGCTCCTGGAGAGCCGCCTGCCGCGGCGGATCTCCCTGCGCAAGGTGCGGACGCCTACGGCCGAGAGCCTGGCGGCCGAGAAGGCGCTCGTGGAGGGCTGCGGCCTCGTGGGGTTGCCGCTGGTGCGCTCGCCGCCGCTGCCGCCCACCTTCGCGGGCACGCTCACCGAGCTGGAGGACTCCTTCACCGAGCAGGTGCAGTCGCTGGCCAAGTCCATCGACGACGCCCTCAGCACCTGGAGCCTCAAGACCATGTGCTCCCTGCAGGAGAGCGGCGCGTACCAGATCCACCAGGCCCTGCACGCGGGCGCGGAGGCCGACACGCGGGAGCCCGAGGGTGCCGGCCAGGGGACC